TCATACGGAAGATTATACCTTATACAAGCAATTAAACTGAGATGATTTTTCTTGATAGTTGGTCATATGTACACGAATATATTCTTAATTACTTTTTATATATGCATGGGGTGGCCACTAACTTTGATGGTGGGTGGTGGGATTAATAAAAGCAAAGTAGTAAGAAGTAAAGATCTTATTGGACGTGGGATTCGTGTCTTAAATTGTTATTTGTGACCTTGTTGTCGTTTTGGGTTGTCGATCTAAACATGTGGTCTTAACCGTTGGACGATTTAATCAGATTTAGAAAATAAGTCAAAATACATTAGACTCCTATGAAAAAATATACATTAGACAATATTTTTTTTTTGTATGTTTTGGTGGAATGGTGACAAATTTACATTAGTGATGACAATTATATATTGGTTAGGGCAGGTACAGCAATACTCATATTTGCTTCGGATTTAACGTAGGTCAGGTAAAAAAATACTCGCAAAGGTACAAGAACGAATAGGTCGGTCCATTCTTATATAGTAGAAAATAATTGAGTATAAATAGTTAAAATATTGAGTTTTAGAATTTTTTTAGGATGAAAACGTGATTTTAGAAAGATAAAAAGAGGAGAAATAATGTAGATATTGATGCAAATTATGATAGAAAGGGTTAAGAACGGGGCAGGACAGGGTAAAAGCAATACCCATATCCCGTCCCACGTTAATGTGGATTTAGTTCACCTCCCCTTCAAACAGATCAGAACAGGTTAGGTCGCGTAAATCAGATCAGAAATCACCTAATTACGACTGTCTTTTCCGAAATTTTTAAAGGGGAAAAGGATGAATGCTTTCTATGTATAGTTGTTGGGTTTTCAGGGGCATGCGTGCATTCTCGATATATTTTATAGAAAAGAAAAGAAAAGAAACGTTGTAATTGCTGAGGAGGAGTGATTATTTATTTAAATACACTTTTTTTTCTTTCTAATTAATAAGTAGAAGCCCAAAAGTTAGTAGGAGTGGGGAGGTTGATCAGTTCAGTATTTCAGTTGAGACTTGAGAGAGGTGGCGCTGGTCGTTGGATGTTAGACTTTGGTTCAAAACCAAATCCGGTTATTAAAAAGAAAAAAAGCTTGGAATCTGTTTCCCAATTAAGTATAATTAAGGCTAATGAGAATCTTATACCTTTTTTGTTTTCCTCTCGACTATGATTGATTATTATTATTATTATATAATTTACGCAAATGTTGGGTGCCGTTTGTCGTTTGTGCTTCTTGCAACTTAATTATTATTATAATTATAATTATAATTATAATTGGGTGGTGGTGGTCCTCAGATTAATTATACAACTTCCTTCCGCCCCACTGCCGTGTTCATAGCGTGTGTTGAAAGTGGCGGATGATAGAAAGAAGTGATTTTGTTCTCTTCTTGGCCTACGAATACGATATTAGGGGTGGCTATACGGTCCGGTCCGGTTAATTGAACCAAATTGATCCGGTCTCAGTCCGGTCTTTTCGGGAATATAAGGACCAAAGATTGGATTGGATGCAATCCGGTCTTGACCCGGTCCGGTCCTAATTTGATCTTGATTTTAGGTGTTGGGGGTCTCTTATCCAGTTTTTTACCTCAAATCTAAGCCCGAATATAAGATTGGATTGTTTGCTATCCGGTCCCGATCCGGGTTATACAGTCCGGTTTCGGGTAAAACCAAACAGTCCCGGACCAAATAACCAGCCCTATACGATATGGAGGATCGTTATAATCTCCCTACATCTGCTCGGTCTTCGAAATTCACATACGAGCTTCAACAACCAAAACATTCAAACAGAGCCATAAAGAATCAAATTCCTAACTACTACTAATCGATTGGCTGAAGAAGATTACTACACAAAACCCCGTGTCCGGTTTAACATACCAAGCTTACACAGATTCGAAGAGAGAAAGAGCGGGGAAATTAGGATTAACTAGCTTAATCTGTACTTAACTATAACTAGCTAGCATGTTTACAGTTCAGTAACTAATAACTAACTACTAAATTGGTTGGAAGGAACGATGATGACAAAATTGGAACATGTGAGAAAAAGGGGGGGAGGCGAAGTTGAGAAATGGAACGGAAAACCCGCAATTGTTGCAGGACCGTTGCAAATATAATTTGATTTGACTTGATTTGACCACGTGTTTTTTACGTCCTCCCCTCTATTATTTTTTATACTCGGTCTAGCTAGTCTACTCTTCTGCCCATAGCTCAGCTGGAGAAACAAAAGCAAAGAAAGTTTCTCTTCCTTTGAGGTACGTTTCTCCGGAAACTTGTCCCGGATTTCAATGGAACGTGTGCATTTCCAAACCCCAAATCTCCACTTTTCCCTTTTATCTTATCAACCCTAGTGCTCGGAATTCAGTCACGAATTTTTGGTTAAACCGGAAATTGGACCATTTGCAATCGATAACCGTAGTGCCACTTATCCAATTTTCGATCGTAGGGAGGCTGAAACATATCGATCTGGTCCAATTCGATTAAACCGGAGAATCCGAAAGATTGAGGATTAATAAAGGTCATGATTAAAACACTGTTATTTTTTAATTGGTTTTGATTTTGGCTAAACACGGTTGTTTAGGGGGAAGTGGGGGTGAGTGAATGTGTGTTTCTTAAATTGGTTTTAATTTTTTAAATTAATTTGGCTAAATGTTGTTTTTGGGGGGAGCGGGGGAGTGGAGGCTTTTTTGTTCTCTTGCTAAAACGGACTGAACCATCTTCAATCCAATCCGGTCACGATTAAAACCGTTTTCAATTCGAACCAATCTCCAGGTACATGTATGGCTAAAATCGCATTCGGTTAACTAGGTAAAACAGTCTGATTAAATCGAACCAAACTGTTTTTCACTCCTATTCAACACCATCATATGTTGCGAGTTGCGACACTAGTATCATGAAACTTTGTTTTTTTTTTTGACAAAAGATAATCATATATTGATCAAGAAAAAAGATAGTTACATCCTGGAGTTCAGCCAGGCCTGATAATCAAAGGAACGACTCATTGTCGGGTACAGAGAGAGGGCTTTGCGAGCCACCAAATGGGCTACCCTATTACAACGCCGACCTACAAATCGAACACGAAACCCAGAATAGCTGTTAAAATAATGCAAAAGCTCTTCCAGAACAGCTCCAACTCGCTTATCCCTAGCATCCTTCTGGTTGATTTTATCAATCAGCACCTTCACATCCCCTTCAAACCGCACAACTGAGAGACCAACCTCCAAGCACCACAAAATCGCCTCCCGGAGGACAAGCAGTTCCACCACCATAGGGTCATCCATAGACGGAAGGTGAATCCCTTTAACCAGCCAAACCTCTCTCGATGGGGTGAGCAGAACCAACCCGCCAGCCGAGTGCGACCCCTTCCTCACAGCGCCATCCCACATGCAAACCACACCCTCTCCCCCCGCAGGGCCTAGATTTGTAAACCCAGATTGACCCTCTATAGGGGCCAAAGCCCTGAAAGCCCTATCCAGCGGCAAGCGGACCCACTCCTCATATTGTTGGTGGAACTGACGCATCAGGGCAGGAAACCCCACTTGTTTGCCTTCAAAAACCACCCAGTTCCGAGATCGCCCAATACGCCACAGGACAGCCACCACAACCATCAACAAGGTAGGCTGGCGAATCAGGGCCAAAAGGCGTTTTAGAAACATAGGGAAAGTATGTCGCGGGAGACCCTCTCCTAGATACCCCAGGCCTGAGTAATCCTAAAGATTGAGGATTAATACCGGTCATGATTAAAACACTGTTATTTTTTAATTGGTTTTAATTTTGGCTAAACACGGTTGTTTAGGGGGGAAGTGGGGTGAGTAATTGTGTGTTTCTTTAGTTGGTTTTAATTTTTTAAATTAATTTGGCTAAATGTTGTTTTTGGGGGGATGGGGGGGGGGGGGAGTGGAGGCTTTTCTGTTGTCTTACTAAAATTGGACTGAACCATCTTCAATCCAATCTGGTCACGACTAAAACCGTTTTCAATCCAAACCAGTCTCCAGGTACAGGTATGGCTAAAATCGCATTCGGTTAACTAGGTAAAACAGTCTGATTAAATCGAACCAAACTGTTTTTCACTCCTAATCAACACCATCATATGTTGCGAGTTGCGACACTAGTATCATGAAACTTTGTTTTCCTTCTTAAAACTATTACATATAGTAATAAAACAGTGATTAATCATTAGTATATCAATGAGACATTGCCATTAAAATAATACTAAAATAAAATAATATGCTCAAAATGTTAAATAATCCCCCATCAATATATGATACACGTCTACTTTTGTACAATTCAAAATCTATGTTTTCCCCTTCATTTGCGGTAAGGGTATTACTGTAATTGTATAATCTCTCCAAATGACCAGGTTCGGAAGGGTATCTCGACACTTATATTTGTCCGTAGTAGTTTGGGTTCAAGTTCGATAATTCATGAAGGGACATGGGTCGGGGCAGGTTGACCCATATGAATATATGTAATTAAAAGGAAAATAATTATAAATATTCATTTTTTTCATACCCCCACCAAGAAACAAATTATAATATGATAAATGTAATTAAATTATTAAAGAATTTGAGTTTCTCGTCTATATAAGTAAAATTACATCTAATTTAAACAAAACGGGTCTAGAATAGGACGGGTCAGAACATGTCATGTTAAGGAGAGTACTCATTCTCATCTCCCCTACGAAGCGGATATGATTCATCTCAAAACATGTCAAACAAATCAAATAAAACTGAGTAGGTGAAAATTATGACGCAATGTCTACAATTTTTTCCCGACAAAACTCTCACCGCTAAAAATTAACAAGGGGAAGCCAATGGGCCGAATTCTAAGCTAGTGATATAATACCGACCAAAATCGGTAAGATCGACCGGTACACCAAGACTAGAAATTTTGATTGCATTGACGAATTGATAGAGAAGGTTGGATCTTTTCCTTCCATAATTCCTGCCCCACATCGTAATTCTTTCGACTATTTTCTAACCGTACTTGTAATATTTTCCAGGGGACAGTGATCCTAATCTTCCAGCCGGCAGAAGAAGCCGGCAACGGAGCAAAACGCATGATCGCCGACGGCGCCCTGGAAAACGTGGAGGCAATCTTCGCACTTCACGTCTCCCACGAGCTCCCCACCGCCGTCATCGGCTCCAGGCCGGGCCCTCTGCTCGCCGGCTGCGGCTTCTTCCGAGCACTCATCACCACACCCCACAACCGCCGCCACGGCGATTCCATCCTCGCAGCCTCCGCCGCCATCATCAGCCTGCAGGGAATCATTTCTCGCGAGGTGAACCCTCTCGACTCGCAGGTCGTCTCCGTCACCACGATCGACGCCTCCTCGACGACCAGCGGAGAGTCGATCGTCGTGCTGGGCGGCACCTTCAGGGCATTCTCCAATGCCACATTCTACCAGCTCCTCCACCGCATACGCCAGGTGATCGTGCAGCAGGCAGCGGTCTACGAATGCTCCGCGACCGTCGACTTCTTCGAGGAGGAATCGACGATCTACCCACCCACTGTGAACGACGAGGGGATGTACGAGCATGTGAGGAAGGTGGCAGGGGATCTGCTGGGTGGCAACAGCTTCAGGGTGGTGCCGCCGATGATGGGGGCAGAGGACTTCTCGTTCTACTCCGAAGTGGTGCCGGCAGCGTTCTACTACGTCGGGATACGTAACGAGGCGTTGGGATCGACGCACACCGGACACTCACCGCACTTCATGATCGACGAGGACGTTCTTCCCGTCGGAGCTGCAGCACATGCTGCCATTGCTGAGAGGTATCTTATAGGGTATGGATGAGAATGTAGAACAACTCTGTTAAGACAGAGTTAAGACTCTGCTCTAAATAGCAAGTAGCAACGCCATATATTACTAAGTAAACTCTCCAGTTCTGTGAATAAAAGTCAAATATGCATATTTCTCTTTCCGTTTCTCGCAAGGTTTGCAGAAACCAACAGCAGTGAAGGAGGTCGAAACAAAGGCAGAAGAACCACACACACAATGAGTGACGTATCAATTCTCTACTCCCTTTTTATACAACGACTGGCGCTCGATTTTCAGTATGTCAACCTAATCTCATAAGTTAACAAAAAACAACGGTTCGCTCTATAGCGAGATCGTACATTATCGTTTACCTCTTTTCGCCACACAGACATCTAGCAGCTTGCAGAGCGAAATAGGTGAGGATGATGTCAGCGCCAGCTCTTCGGAGACACAACAAGGACTCCATCATTACCTTCTCTTCATCAATCATTTTCAGCATCCCGCCAGCCTTGATCATCGAGTATTCCCCCGAGACCTGGATTCGTAGTTTTGTATGAAGCAATTAGAAAGGAGGGACCTATCAATTGGTGAATTAAGAACTTCAGTTGATGGTTCAGTTGGAAGAGTACCTGATACGCAGCAATCGGCAAAGCAGAGTTGTCTCTTATTTGCCTGATGATATCAAGATAAGGAAGACCGGGTTTCACCTGAAAACCAAGCGGGTCAAGTTAAAAATGAGACAATCTTTTATTTACTTGTTCAAGGATCTAAAATGGAAAGGGGATACCAACCAGGAGAATATCAGCTCCTTCAGATTCATCTTCATGGACCTCAACCATAGCCTCTCTATAATTTGCAGGGTTCATCTGATAACTTCCATTTTTCCAAATAAATATTTTAAAAGTCAGTTAGACAAACATAGATAGTTTCAGGGGTTGATGTATGAAAACAGAACCACCTCAATAAAGCACATACGTCTTTTTATCACCGAAACGTGGATTTGAGTCCAGTGCTTCCCGGAATGGGCCATAGAAAGAACTAGCGTACCTGGTTGTAGGATATAAGAAGGATTAGTAGTTGACAAAACAATAAGAACATAACATTTCACCAACTGAACTAAACCAATTATCAGATCTGTTTCCAAGTGATACATATTCCACAGGTCTAAACTCCGAATTACCAAATCAACCAAGTGGTCAATTGAATCACTGGCAGGTCCCAACTCTTAGTTACTCCTTTATATGTAAAAATTCCCTCACAGGGAACTGATAACTGGTGTAAATCTTAGCAAAAGTCAAGAGCAGAGAAAGGTAAGATCAATTACTTACTTTGCCGTGTAGGACATGATTAAAACATGCTGAAACCCTGCATCATCAAGAGCATCACGGATAGCTCCAACACGACCATCCATCATGTCACTAGGACTAACAACATCAGCTCCTGCTCGAGCCTGTTCATTCAAATTAGCATCCGTGATAAGGACGTGTATCTAGAGTCCCTGGAAATTTTAACTTACAATACAAAAAACAGAAATTGAATTGAAGATTGGTGATGAAAAATAGGAAAGCTCTTTGTATTTAAAGCCTAAGTCAAACAAATTCTCATGAACTTTTGCCAAAATCAGGGAAATTCTGCTCCGAAACAGTAACGAATATACATTATATGGACCAAAGAACATCACGCCATTGAATAAGAGAGAAGTAATCTGTCTAATACAACAGGAAAAGTGATTTACGAATAGTTGACATGGATTGAAACTGAAAAGTGTATTACCTGTGCAACAGCTTGCTTGCACAGTTGGTGTACTGTCTCATCATTCATTATGACGCCTGCAGATTTACATTGAGAGCAATCAGGAATTATAGATGCCAGCATTTGTCATAAAACAAAACCAGGCTCTTACATGTGATCTATCAGGGACAAAGAAGATAACTCTGTTCTATCAGTTCTAAGTAAGATGTCAGGCACAATGACTCCCTTGTGCCACTTCTGACCTAAAACACAATGTCCTGATAATCAATACAGCATTGCAGTTCGCCTAAAAAGAGCAGTAGCTCCAGTGGAAGCTCTCCTAAATGAGCCAAATACTGAAAGGATTAGCTATTCAAGTTTACTACAAAATAAGAACATGGATGAGCCTCTGCATAACTATCCTACTTCCTGTGAAGTGACCAGGTTGTCCATCACTAAGGAACTCCAGTAAAAATTGCAGCTAAGACTAGGTTCTGCCCTTATAGAAAGAGTACCCTAAATACAAATAATTGGAGCTTGTTTGATTCCCTTAGCATCCCTATGAAGCTACTTAGACAACTTCAAACTAACATATTTCAAATGTAAGACAAAGAAATCGCGTTGCCAGAAATATCCCTCTTACCATCTTCTCTCACAATACCATCATGCCCATCAGAGGAATACGGATCGAGAGCTACGTCAGTATATATAACCTGAAGAAAGATGGAGTTAGGATAGAAGAAACTATCATTAAGCAAACTATGAGACTAATTCTTAGTTGAGTATAACATCCCCGTCAAACTAAAGATATGCAGGTTTACTTACAATACCAGGGAATTTGTCCTTGAGCAGCCGTATGGTCCTTGGAACTAAACCATGTTCATTATAAGCTTCATCTCCTGTAGGGGTCTACAATGAAAGAAGCAAAGTTAAACTTCCACCTTCACTGCAACAGATAGGGAAATCCAGAAGACCTGCCATCCAGGATAGAAGAAAAACCTTCAAGGCATCAGGAACTTTAGGGAAGAGTACTATACTGTTCACACCAACATCCCGGGCCTTTGCAACCTGCATCAGACATTTGATTAGTGTGTGATGAACTGCCAGTCAGCAAATATACTCCAGCATTATAGTGCATGCACTATAGTTTGAAAGTCTTCCATATCGACTGCCCGTCTATAAGAAGAAAAATATTTTTTTCTAAATTACAAGATAGTTCATATCAATAATCGAGCGAAATTCTTAAGCTTTCGCAAGGGAGATGAGTTAGCAGGAGAGACCCAAACAAGATCATGGTACTATAAATTCAATATTCAAGCCATGAGGTCAGATGTTGCTTGCTCATCAACTCATTAAAATGTCAATTGATATCAACAACAATAGGCCATGGTACTCACTGGGTGATAGAACAATGCAGCTGAATTTGATTCTTGAAAAGGGTCTCATTCCCAATTGACTGTAATCTATGTCCCATTTGAATCTACATTAGTTCATTCAGAAATGCGCCCGCATAACAGCAGGTTCGATGGTTCTACTTAACAACCCCAAAATTAAATTTAACCAAGAGACTACTCAAATGTCAGGGACTTGACTTATAATCCATCACTGTCAAGGAAAATGATACTGCCAGACAAGCATAAAGAGAGGAATCACCTCTTCCAATAGCCCATGTCTCCATCCAAGCCTATAACATCCTGGCATAGCCCCAATAGGCGTGTCCTCCTCGCCTTCGTGAATGAAAAGTGGATACACAAAATTCGCCGGGGATATACTGGTTTCCTGAAACGCTGCTCTAAGCGCAGGTGATCTTCGATTTCGACGAGGGCGCCTGGAAAGTGGCTACCGGGAAGAAGGAATACAAACACAAAATTTCACCCAGTTAAAATTCTCCAGAAACCTACCAAATAAGCTACAACAATCAAATCGTGGTAAAATCTAGCACTAACAAGCGAAGGAACGACGGGGGTTCCGGCGGGAGCAAGGGGTGTGGGCGGGACAGGAGGCGCCTCGGGGACGTTCCCTGCGGCAACAGCTGCTTCACATTCCGCATCGCTCAATCCCGTCTTCACCGGCACATCGCTGGTCGCTTTCGCCAAGGGAAGCACCCGCCGTTTCGGAGCCGGAGAAGACGAAGAAGGAACAGTGATCGATTTCTTATTTGGCGACGCGATGAACCTTAAATTACCGAGGGTGGGTTTGTAGGTGTTGCAATCCAAGCCTTTCAAAGTGGCAGGGAGACTCGACGAAGCGTTGAATATGGTGGAAGCCATGGATGGAGATAGATTTCAGCTGGGAAAGTGGGATAGTTTGGAAGCGGACGGGAATCCGCGGGTGATGTGGAGACAGAGACCTTGAGCAGAGGAAGAGGAAGAGGCGCTTCTTATCTTCTTCTGATCTAAAATCCTGTTTTTGGGATTGACCGATAGATAGACAGAGACAGAGGAGCCGTTCCACAATGTTGACTTTTGCTTTTACACGCAATGGATTATTTGACCTTTTTTTCTGAATAAAACTCGAGATCATTTTGATAATCAAAGGTGTAACACCCTGAGTATGTTGGTTTTGAGGCTAAACTTTCACGGATTTCGATTTGAAGGGCATATTAAGGTGATTATCCATAAGGTCACTTATTGTTACTTCATGTTGAGTACGTTTAATTTCAGAGTTCTCATACAAAATTATGGATCTCTTCCGTGCTTTGTCGATGTGAGATTCACCTAATGTGTTTACGTACACACCGTTTGGGACTCAATATCCTCATTATGGTTTGCCCCACCATCGCTCAAGAGGGACAGGGGAGAGGCTCTAATACTACTTGTAACATTCCGAATCTTTTCCTGACAATATATTGTTTGCTTTGGGTCTAGACCCTCACGAGTTTCGACTTGGGTGCATATCAAGGTGATTTCAAAGTTGCTACAACCCCATAGAAAAAATGAAAGATAGAATAAAGGTTGTGGTAAAAGTGAATAAACTCACACCTTTCACCTATCTCTGACCATTTTAGAGCATCTTTATCGTGACTTCCTGATTAGAGTCGAACATTGCCATTAAAACTAAGCATCTCTAGTCACCTAGTGACCCACCTCCTTAGAAACAAATCGAGGGGAGATGTTAGAGGGTTCAAGTTGCACATTTTAGTCATGTGTTCGCTTGAGGACAAGCAAACGCCAAAGTGTGGGGGTAATTTGATAACACTTAAATAAATGTTATTCGACCTTCATTTTTAGGTATTTTCATATAACATTAAATATGATTAGATCAATTAAATGTCATTTGTATGCTAGAATGGTTCTTGTATCGATTTATGTATTTTTAGATTGCTTTTTACGTTATAAGCAAAAAAGGCGAAGAAAGGGGACTCATGTGCAGAAAGAAGGACAAAAAGAAACGGAGTTTGCAACCAAGACACTCCAACTTCACGACTGAGATCTTCTAGGTTGTGAAGAGATCACGCCATGTGTAGTAGTTCGTAGTCGCGGTTTTACGAAGGTTGCACACGATGAAGAAACAGAAAGTCTCGTGGTAATTTTTGCGACTCTTTGCATCCTAGCCCACGACAAAGAACATGGCCGCGACTCCAAGTGCACAGTCGTGTACTCTGAGCCGCGATCTCACCTCCAGTGCCAGCCAAAATTGTTGCGTTAGAAGATCACGGGTTAAGACGCAAGATCGCGACTGTGATCTTGCATCATGAGGCCGCAAACTTGTTCGTGTCCCTTGTGCCTATAAATATTGGGAGACCCTCATTGCTGAAGGGAGAGCCACTTTAGAGTGAGAATTTAGGGGTTTTGGGCATTTTTAGAGAGAGAAACACCTTAAGAGGGATGCAATCCAAGAAGAGAGGAAGGCTTTAAGCATTTCTCCTCTTCTTTGTTTGTATTTCTTCTCTTCCTTTATGACTTAAACACCTAAGGTTGTATAGGGGAGATGAATCCTAGTATGTAGTTAGAGTTTGTTGATTGAACGAGAACCTAGCTGTTTTTATTTAATTAAGGTGTTCATTGCTTCTTTTCTTGGATTGATTGCTTGATATGGCATGTTGCATGATTAGCCCTAGGTTAGCTACGTGGATGTGTGTATAGATGATCTAGGGTCCTAATTGACGGATAAGGCGACCCTCCCCTACCAATTAGGAGCTCACCTAGTTGATACTAGGAAGGTAAGTGCTTGACCATCGACTTATCGACCTAGTGTGCGAATGGGTAAAACCCATTTAGAGGATGTAGATTCTATCCCTAGTCCAGAAGATTGACTTTGTTGACATTGGATCAGTGGACTTGGCTAGCTAGGGGGATCAGGATACATGACCATCGATTCCTTAGTGACCTTCGCATCGCGAATTAGGTTAGTATAAATCAACTACTTTGTATACTACTGGGAGGATTCGACCCTAGACAGCCATCTCATCTCTAGCGACCTCCCAAATATTTAGCTGATTACTTTTGCTAGTTAGGTTAGTTTAGTATTAAACCAACTTTTCTATTTGATTAGATAGTAGGTTAGTGCGAAGTAATAGTAACATAGGGACCCTGGAATACAACCTTGGGCACCACTATACTACCTCCAAAATTTGAGTTATACTTGGCTCAAATTAGAGTCGTCAGTGTTATAATCGATCAAGCTTATAAATTGTAAAGTTCTGCTTACCACGAGTACAATTCACATAGGAAAATAAAAAAATTATTGTTCTCTCTTGATTTATTTGCTCATTATTTATTATGTCACTTAAAGCCCTCATATATGTAATTACAAATGAATTGCATTGATGTATGTGCAATGAAATAAAATTGAGTTGGATTGCACAAAATTTTAAATGACAATAAAAACATCATATGCAATTGGTTTTGCAATCACATTGACGTGGACAGTGGATGCTATAACATGTGCCATGATTATGGCTGCAAATGAGCCAAGTTGCTCACAAGCAGCTTGACTTCGACTTGAGAAAAAGCTCGTTCAACACTCAACTTGTTTACCAATGAGCAGAGCTTGAACTAAGCCTTGTTCGACTCGCAAGGCTCATGAGCCAGCTCGGCTCGACAATTTGTTGAGTTCAACTTGTGAGATTACTCATTTTGAGTTATTAGTTGGCTCGACAGTAAGACTAGCGAGCCACCTCAACTAACAATAAATGAGTTAATCGATTAAAATTGTATCATTTGATTGTTGGTAATTTATATGCTTGTTAGATTATATATATTACCATATATGATGTTTAAGAATTTGAGCACGTAATCAAATATAATACAATTATATTTTTTATCGAAATCTGTGCATTTACGTGTGCTACTTGAGGGGTGGTGGAAGTGGAAAGGAGGGCAGTCGTGAGATTCGAACCTGAGATCTCCATGTTGAAAACCAACGACACATCCACTCGGCCACAGTGACGTTCACATATCTCATTTTATAATTTAAAAGAGAAATTATGCGTAATAGATTGCTCATATACTAAATACTATTAAATAACATGGTATGAACAATTAAATTTTTTTAACTAAATGATGTGATGTTGGAGCTCGAACCGATCTGTGAGCTAATTGATGTGCCAAACTCGAGTCGAGCTCGAGTCAAACACAAACCAAGGTTTTAGGAAAAAATCTCAGCTCCAACCGACTCTTTTATCGAATCGAGCCCGAACCAAATCAAGACTCGACTCGACTCATTTGCATTCTCTATCCATGATTCGATTGGACAATAAAATATTTATATTGTAAACAAAAATAATAATTAACGAAGTAGACAGTCGTAAAATTAATAAAATGTCGGAAAAGTTGTCGTTTCACACACGCACCAGAAGAAGAAGACAAGTCTAGTCCCAAATCCGTTGCCAGAAGGCACAAGGCAGAAGAACGAAAGGAGCCTCCTCTGTTCCATCCTTGCCATTCCCACCCACTCTCCCTAACTTCCCGTTGCCTTCCCTCTCTCTCTCTCTCTCTCTCTCTCTGCTTCCCTTTTTCCTTCTTCTCCTCCGCAAAACTTGCAGACCCAAAACCCCTTTCAAAATCCACCTCCCTCTCCTTAGCCTTGAAGCTGCTGTTCTCCATCCCTGCTTCCCAAATTCAATCGCTACCCTTCAACCCTGCTTTTTGTTTAACTTCTCAATTACTCCTTTCCGTTAATTCTGAACCGCTTTCTGATCGGCGGCGGTACCCTGAATTCCCTTGTCGGCACCGATTACTGGAGAAGAGAAGTCCACCAGTTTAGGCGGAACTGGAATGGAGACCTTGTCTACGGCGGTTATTAGAGAGAATTACCTCAACGGGAATCACCAGCACCAACATTCCTTCTCCTCTTCATCTGCCTCCCTTAGACATGTCAACTACAGGTTCTCCTCCCTCCCCCGTTTTGAATCGCTGGATCGCTCGAATCGGGGTGTTTTTCTTTTCTTCCATCTTACTGAACTTGAATTGGGTTTTTTAGGTCTTGACTCTTGAGAACTTCTTCTGGATGCTTTGGACCGATTCATTGTGTTAGATTGGATTGGAACCGCTTGATTTGGCGTTTTCACTGTGTGCTTATCAGAACAAGAAATTCTCTCGTTTTAATCTATTTTGGAACTATGCTGGCTCCTTCTGCCCTACTTACCCAATTGGGCTTAGTCGCTCTCACAGCAAGGCAAAGATAGGGGGAAAGGGTAAAGGAATGATTTTGACAACAATAGGAAAGACAATCTTAAGAGACAAGAAATGGGCAAGATTCGTTTTGTCATTGTTCTCAGTGTTTGTGAATTTAGTATCTCATAAGTGTTCTCTGGATACAGTTACTTATAATTAGAACATTTGTTTTGTCATGACAAGTTGACCAACTGAATGTGGAAGGAAGGCTGGGAAAGTATCTTATCCCTGATAATGTATCATGCAGATGAATGGATTGAATACAAAAGTGGGTGGAGTTCCGGATCAATGGTTAACAGAGTTCACATAGCCAAAGCTAGATTATTGCAGTGTGATTATATTGTATGGAGTATGGACAACTGAGTTAGCTGTAGTTCCTTGAACTACCAACAAGTCTTCGATCTTATCTTAGCTATAGGATTTATGCTGCATAATATTCATTTAACAGTGCCTTCTATTGAGCTATGTATTTGTCTGGTATTTGGAGATTGATGTTAATTGTTTCAACTTTTCTGTCTTATCTTAGCTCTAGGGTTTATCCTGCGTAATATTCTTTTAACAATGCCTTCTATTGAGCTATGTATTGGTTCGGTATTTGGAGATTGATGTTAATTGTTTCAACTTTCAGTTACATGATATTTTGAATGGTACTGTGTGAAGCAGAGTCTGAAATATGATTAAGAAGAAATGAAATATCGTTCTTTGCTTTGGTTGTTTGACAAGAATTATGAATTTCATTAACAAGATATGATCTTTCATCTTTGGTTGCAGCTGTGGGGTCTGTGGCTATGAGCTGAACTTGAGCTCTTCGAACAGAAACACATCGACCATAGACTCCAAGTATGGGAAATCAATAAAGCGTGGGGTCATCTCATTCTTCTACATCGACGAGAGCAGGTTTACTCTGATGGACGAGTTCCAATGCATTCCATATTTTTTCTCAAAGAGCTCGTGGGGCTTTTTCCGTAGGAGAACCAAACTTCTCTGCCGCAAGTGTGGCAACCCAGTTGGCATTGCTTACGACGACGAAGCTGCAGCTGCCTACCCTCTCGTATCAGGCGACGAACCAGAGTTATCCTCCTCTTCAGGCACTTCCGAAGCTACTACTAAACTCAGAAAGTACGACATCAAAATCCGCTCTTTACAACCTTCTGCTGTTGATAGAGTCGGTACGCCACATTATCTGTGATGATGATAAAAGCTTCGGAAAGTAATTCGTCTCTCTTGTGATATTCTATACGAACTCGAGATTAGTGGCGTGTGTTTTCGATCTCGTTTTTTGTCTTTCTGTATCAAGTGTGTATGTTTCTCAGTGATGGTGATCTTTGTACAGAAGGTCTAAAATGGCAAATAGAGAGCTATTGTTGGAGAATGTCTCGAGATTGAAAGAAAAACCTTGTTTTTGGGTTTTCCCAGCAGTCCGGAAATCTGATATCTTAATGGACAAGAAACTAAAGAAAGTGATTGAATAGTTGAATTGCATTGTTGCTTCAATTTTTTTTAAGAAATTCGTCTTGTGGGGTTAATTCTTAATTGTGTGGCTTTATACTTTGTGACGGTGTTAAGATTGAGATTGGCCACTCAGGTAAAGATTCTGGTGAATGATGAACCCAAAAAGAGGGCTTTTGGCTCATGAGGAAAAGGGGAATATGTCTGGTTAGTGGTTAGGAAGTGTGCTTTCACATGGATGCTGTGTCATGAAACCATTGATAGGAACTGGACAGCTCAAGGTTTTCCCCATTTGTGGTAAAAGGATGGGTGGAAAGTTGGTTGGGATTCTGCAGCTGACACAGAAGAGAAAGGAAGAAATAGTGAAAGAAACAGAGAAGAAAAGAGTCGGTGTCTGTCTTCCAAATCCATGGTGGAACAACCAGAAGAAGATAGATTTGGAAATGTCCTGAGTTGAGTTCCTCCTTCACATGCGCATTGCTATATGTGTATATGTATCCAAATCTAATCAAATTATTGCTTATAGAGTTGTTAAGTCTTTTGCTGATCATCATCTGTAACGTCCCTAAGAGTTTTGTATATTTGATTCCTGCATTTTATAGACGAGGGTTCATATTCTAATTCTACTTAAATTAGGTTGCCTTTTTATCAATCGTTACCATCTTAGGACTAGAACATCCTAATATAAACTGACTACTCGATAACTACATAACACGGAACACTCAACATAATTAAAATATAACACATGCACCGAACAACGATAAAAACGCATAATGGACAATCCAATTATCGTTGGGTCGGCACACCGCAACCCACTCGATTTCTTTCCTTCTGTTTCGGCCTTTGCTCGCGCGCACCGTCAATTGACATGTCAGTGTCGGGCTGATTGTTTGGCGTTGACATATCGTAACAGAGTTGACAAATCTCAAGTAAACAAATAGGCACTTATTTTGCATTTTGTGTAACATTCCTAAAACGTCTCTATGTTTGATTCGACATGTTAGCGACGGCAGTTAAGATTCTACCCGGAACTCAGACATTCAAGATATATGATCGATGAATTAGTAATTGTGTTAGCACATAAAGTTCGATATAATTAATCAAACGTGTATCCAAACAATCATGAAGTGTCCAATTATTAGTACCCCGAACATTCAGTTGTCCCGGCTTTTAGGCACAGCAGCATCATCTCTTTCTTCTTGTTCAGCTCCAGCCTCTAGGTGAACTGAACCTTTGCTCGCACAAGTATCAATTGATGGATTGCAAGTTTTGTTGTTTTTCCGCCCGTGGATCTCTCTACACCGGGAGAATAGAAGTTCATTTCAAACTTCAAAGGCTGCAACTTTCTTGCTTTTGGCAGCCTTACAAGGTTTTGGATTCCGTGGTTTGCTTGTTTGTTTGTTTTCATTGGTAGATTAGGGAAATGTTAGACTTAGGCATCATAAGCCTAATCAGGCTAGCTGCTGATTCAAGATAGGGTAAAACACTATATCATATTTAAAAAGAGGTAGAAAGGGTTGAATAGTAATCCGACGAGTACTCAAACGAACATCTAAAATCGAAAATCTACAAATGCTATACTAACTCTTGATCCAGCAAAGGACTGAGCCGTGGCCCAAGGACGACCCCCATAAATCCACCACTAGGCTCGAGACATCTCAATTTCTCACATGTTCTAATACTATCTCACCCACGATCAACGAACTTTACTCGCGTAGATCGTCTGCAAAATGACTGCGTATTGTGTGGACGTAACTTGCATCACGTGAATCAATACATAGAATTCAAAATTATTCAAGAAATCGAATCTTGAATCTCTCTTTCATTACAAGATCAAGATCGGAGCTCCGTTACAGTTTTACATATAAGAATATCATACATGCCGAACAAAGCGAAGAAGACAATAGGCAAATGTAATACAAAACAACTCAGAAGACAAAAGTCATTTGGCTCCCATTCTTCACCATTTCTAAGCTTGTAACAGAAGAAAAATAGTTACTTGAAAGATGGAACAAAAATCTTCTGTTCCAATAGAAAATTTATTTACCCTCTTTAGGTCTGATCTCAATGCCTTGAACAAGAAGCCCTCCTTTCCAATTCCCACCTTTCACCTCAGCAACATACATCTCCAACAGCTCCCCTTCAACCCCTTCCTTGGCGAAGAAGTCACCCAGCTCCACCTCAAACCACCCATCCTTCCTCTCCTTCGGACACACACCGCTGCCGCCTCGCTCCGCCGCGGCACCGCCACCGCGGTGGCCGAATCCCTCGTCGGCCACCGCCGACGGAGCAGGGGAATGGAACCCTATCACACGGCTGCCGCGCGGGCTGAACCGCCCGAACCCGCCCAACAACCGCCTCGGAGCGCCCTCCGCGGCCACCACCTGGAGCCGCCGCCTCCTCTCCATCCCGGCGTCGAGGTAAACCGACCGGACCGCCTTCTCGTCGCCCGACAGCCCCACCGAGACCTCCACGGGCTGGTAGTCGAACCC